TAAATGCAACAGAACTGTATTTGCATTGTCTCTTGGAGTTCTTTGGGCTGAACCTGACAAAATGTGACATAATCCAAACCAATTATTCTGCCAGAGCACCAGAGAGGCATCTAGTGTATGTTTTTAAACTGATTCTTTCTATGTAAGCATGTACTTTTCTGCTTACCACTTTGTGATATTTGTTGCAGGAGTGATCCGAGAGAGTTATCTCAAAGGGCACGATCAGCTGGTGCCTGTCACCCTCCTGGCTATAGCAGTCATTCTTGCCTTTGTCATGGGAGCTGTCTTCTCGGGGATCATAGTGTACTGCATCTGTGACCATCGGCGTCGAGATGTGACCATCGTGCAGAGGAAAGAGAAGGAGCTGGTCCAATCTCGTCGAGGCTCAATGAACAGTGTCACCAAGCTCAGTGGCCTCTTTGGAGACACTCAGTCCAAAGACCCAAAACCTGAAGCCATTCTCACTCCCCTCATGCACAATGGTAAACTTGCTACTCCAGGAAGCACAGCCAAGATGCTCATCAAAGCCGACCAACATCATCTGGACTTGGCTGCTCTACCTACTCCAGAGTCCACCCCAACACTGCAGCAAAAGAGGAAGCCCAGCCGTGGCAGCAGAGACTGGGAGAGAAACCAGAATCTCATCAATGCCTGCACAAAAGATATTCCCCCAATGGCATCACCTGTGATTCCCACAGACCTTCCTCTCAGGGCTTCCCCCAGCCACATCCCAAGCGTTGTAGTCCTGCCTATTTCTCAGCAAGGCTATCAGCATGAGTATGTTGATCAGCCTAAAATGAGTGATGTGGCCCAGATGGCCATGGAGGACCAAAATGCCACCCTTGAGTACAAAACCATAAAAGAGCATCTCAGTGGCAAAAGCCCAAACCATGGGGTGAATCTTGTGGAAAACCTGGATAGCATGCCACCCAAAGTCCCCCAGAGGGAAGCTTCTCTTGGTCCCCCTGGGTCCTCTCTTGCTCAAAGCAGTCTAGGAAAACGCTTGGAGATGCATTCTTCTGCTTATAACGTGGACTACAAGAGAAACTACCCTACGAACTCGCTTACGAGAAATCACCAAACATCAACGCTCAAAAGAAATAACACTAATTCTTCTAATTCCTCCCACCTTTCAAGAAATCAGAGTTTTGGCAGGGGAGACAACCCTCCTCCTGCCCCACAAAGAGTGGACTCCATACAAGTCCATGCTGCTCAGGGTCAGACTGTGACTGTTTCTAGGCAGCCCAGTCTCACCACATACAACTCGCTGACAAGATCAGGGTTGAAACGTACACCATCATTAAAACCAGATGTACCCCCCAAGCCCTCCTTTTCCCCTCTTTCAGCATCCATGAAGCCAAATGATGCATGTACATAATCACTGTGGGGTGCGGGGGGGACAGCTGGTGATCAGAGTATATCCTTAAAGACCAGGATTCGGCAACAGCAATGCTAGTTTCAACTGACCAGGAAATGGCAATGCTGCAGGACCTACTGCTCTGGGGAAAAGTGGAATATTTTTAAGGAATCGGGCCATACAGTCTATGGTTTGCAACTGTAGGACCCACCCCCGCAACACAACAGCTCTTCACTCAAAAGACTAACCGCAAACGTTGAGCCAAAAGCACACTACACGAAAGATGACTGTGATCCTTCACTTTTAACTGCACAGAGCATCCTACAATTGGGAAATGAGTGCTTTGAAAGCAAAAATGCCCTGAGAAAGGAGCAACTCACAAAAGGAAAAAAGGAACCCATTGTTTAAGCTAACTCTTACTGAACTGTGGCAGACTCTTACTATATGCAGGTACTGTGAAAGCCCATCAGTGTTACAACCTTTTGATTATAGCAGATTTGCCATGTTGGGCAAGAACAACTCTGTCATAGGTTACTGCTACTCTTCTCTCTTAATGAATAACATGTGACTGTTAACGCAAATAACTCTTATTATTTATTGTTCATCTTTTTTGTCTTTTTTTAAATTCCTAAGGAAATCATTTCTGCCTACCATCATACAAGCAACTCTTTCCAGAAGGAAAAACAAAATACATTGAAAATTATGCCTATTTAACGTGAAACCCCATTAACTAGAGTAATTAAAACTCTTTTTATTTTTCCAATAAATTCACTGAGTTAAATAAGTTGGAGATGAAATTCTGAACTTTTGTGTTTGAACTCTCTGATGTCTTTCTGGAAAACAAACTAGAGGAGAATGCTTATTTCAATATTGGTCCGTTCTGCAGGCTGGCTTTCAGCCTTTAGGTCAGGTTGCAAACCAAGGAAGAAACCTCCCACCACGCCATTCTCTCCCCAAAGTTCCCTTCTTCCTAAAGTAATGTCTATTCTGTAAGAACTCTCTGAACACTGCACTTCCATGCCCCATTGCCATGAACATGGTTTTTGTTGCTAGCTAATCCTTTCTGTGAAGGCAGCGACTTGATCTCTGCCATCTCATTTCACCCTTGCATGTGAGATGGCAAACCAGTGAACAAAAATGCACAGTGCAAATTCATCCATACACTGGTTACTGCCATGTGTAACTTAGTTTTACTACACAGGGTTTGTTTTGATGGGAATACATCTATTTTTTTCCCACATGTAAATTTGTGCCTTACACCCTCAGTTGTGTATATTTGTGAGCTTGTAGTATGTACAATCGTTCCCCTCTCTTTAGAGTAAATCAGATATTTATCTCCACCCTCTCTTACTCCCCTAGAGAACTGGAGGACGCACAGTTTCATGTTTCAGTTTGCAGAACTAATAGCCCTCTGATCCACAAGAAGACAAGGTGGTGGCAATATCCGTTGCTTTGGTGTGAATCCTAACCATGCCCATCTTGGCTTTCAAGTTACCTTTGTGCTATCCTGGCAGTATAGATGCTGTTTGGTGACAGCGTATCCTTCTACCTGAATATTTTGGTATCATTTCAGCATGGAAACCTATCCTTTCCCATTGCCAGCAGTGTGGCATATCACCAAAGTCAAGCACTGTGTGCCATTGGCATTCTGGCAGGAAAAAACCAGACACACAAGCCTAACACCTGTATAGCGCATGGAATGAAATGGAAATGAATATAAAGCAGGCTGGTTCCTGCTGGTTCCCAGTGACTGCAATAGGAAGGCAAACCCAGACAAATGGTGCATCACACTTTTTGTTGTAAGAGAGAAATCCAGCTTTCATTTGTTTTCATTTGTATGGATGGGTGGGGAAAATGGGGGCAGAGTGTGCGCAGGAATGTGTGGTTTGACAGTATCTTGGTTGCTTGTGCATAGATTTTGCTTTTGAACTGTCATTATACCTACGTCAACCTACTGTGGCAAAAGAGAGAGAAATGGATGTGCGTGTTTGATATTGTCTGGACAGAATGTTTGGGAAGGAGGAACAAGGTTTTGAAAGAGAAGATGTTTCTATACTCCAGTGGGGTTGGTTTTGCTGCCTCTGGGGGGAGTTCATTTGTGAATGATTTCCCTGGAAAGGAAAATCTTCAGGCTTGTAGCAGCATACAGATGGTCATTTGGAAAATCAGGATGATCAGAACCCAAGGTACCTGCTTCTGCTCTCCTTTTGGGTCTGCCTCCTGAGCTAAACCAGTTTGTTCACTGTTTGTTCACACACTCTGCGAGCTGTGCAGAGCAAAGTCAAAGCAATGCTTCTTTCCAGGATTTCATTTGTTTTCCCCTTACCCACCACCCCATGGTCTCTTCCTAAGCTGCGAGGGATTCATATGAAAAATAAACCAGAGTTTTGTTTTTCCTCCTTGAAGCTCAGTCCCTAAATTCTAAAGGGCATGGCACCTCCTTGCTACATCTTAGCCAAGCAGCCTGTTGTAATGTAGAAATGAAGAATTATTGCAGCTTTGTTCAGGGATCTGCCTTTATAATATACATCACGCCAATGACGGGGTTCACCTTGAGATGCCCATTTTTTATTCTAATCTGTTTTGTTTACTGTTCAGACCCTTCCATGTCTTTCCTCCTGCCCCTTGCCCCATTTTTACCCCTCTGCGTGTAAAGGTTCTTAGACCTACGTGTGCCTTTTCTTTCCACCCTTGGTATACACTGGTAGATGCAACCAAGTCAGACTCTCTCTTTTGTTGTAAAGTTGTAAAAAATATTGTGTTGTCACCAATTTCCCTACATCTCCACAAATTCCTAACATCATCAGATTCACAGTTTAATGTATGTTGTAAACAAAATTAAGAAGAAGAAAAGGGGGGAAAGAGTTGAAGTGTTTACGAAAGAAATAAAATGGCAAGGAAAGGGGGGGGGGAAAGGCTCTTGATGACAAAATAATAAAACCAGACTGTTCTACTTTATATTTAGTCTCCCGGCTCTTATTTACACATAAAAAAGGCATAAATTAGCATACCCTGCAGAATTACAAAAATAAATAAAAGTAGGTTTAAATAATAAATAAAACTGATGGGTTTTTTTTTCAGTAGCAGAAAATTTACAATGGAAGTCTTAGCAAAAAAGAGATAAAATTGTACCCCGCCTATTTTAAGTGCTTATAATTTGCCCTGGTAGAGGGCAGTAGTGCCCAAGAGACGCTCTACCGGTCAGCTAGAAGAAAAATTAAGTGCTAAATATTCAGATGCAGGGCTTCCCATCCTAAAATCAAAATAGAGTGCTCACTGCATGGATTCACATAGCCCACTAAGATATAACATGGTTTGTTGGTTTTGGCTTAATGTGTGAATTGTGCTTTGCCAGCCATGGTTTACTGATCAGTATGATGTGCCAACCCAGCAAATAGTGATTTATTCAATAAATGGTGGTTCAGCAAACCCTAGTTGTGGGCAAAATGTGAACCAGGTCACTGTGTCACAAAAAGATACGGTTATGAAATAATTTGTAACCACCACAGTCCATGGTTCTCCAATAGATGTCCACTTGTTAGTGAATCACCAGAAAAAATTGCCAGAGAAAGGACAGTGTGAGAGAACCATGCAACACAAAGCTCCATAGGAACAAATCAAATGCTGCCTAGTTACCACATTCACCCTTCAGCACTAAGTTTCTATAAAGGAGGAGGAACTGCTACATCTCCTAAGCTGGTAATTCTACCTGGTTTATCTGTTGCCTTATTTATTTTGTCTTGTACATGTTAAATTATCTCCTAGTACTGTTAAGATAAAGGCTGTCCAATTGTTCTCTTCAATTTTTCCCCCAGTAAAGGAGCTGTATGTCTTACAAAGGCTGGAAAGGTTGATTTTAACATTTTAACATTGTATTTCCAAACATTTGGAAGCCAACAATTATTTCCTTGTTTCATCTTCCCAAAAAGCTCTATGAAATTTCTTGGTGGAATCTAACATCTGATAGGGCCGGCTTTGCATACTTACTCCTTAATACTCAGACAAAGGTTAAACACGTCTCCTCCTTTTTGTTCCCCTAGTTTTTTCCCCTAGATGTTTAGCCATGTTACTTCAGGCAAGGAAATGCCTGAAATTTAAATGTTTGCAGTCTTGTACCTCAACAGTTGGCCTAATGAATGCAATATCTTATCATCATATTTTCCAGGACAATCCATCAATATGATAGTTAATGAGACCTAGAAAACCTCGACATTTTTTCTCACTTACAATATTCCTACACATAAATACACTTCATGGAATGGATTTAAAAATCCAGTTAGATGAATGTGCTTCACAGTAACAATGTACAAATACAGAATTAATTGTGAGCCCATTCCATAGGCCTGTGAACATGCTCACATACACACACTACTGAGGAAGTGTTTCTGGAGGCATCAACATTATTCCTTGATAAATCCTTAACTAACAAGAATAGGGAGAATTGAAAATTGGAGGATATAGCTTTCCATTTTCAAGGGCAATATCACAAAATACACAGCTGACTTTTTCCCAAGGTTGTATATGAAAGTTTTCCTCTTGATGCCTCTTACAATGTATTCAAGTTCATAATGCATGAATAATGCATGAGCGAAGTAGCATAAGGTGCAGCTACTTACGGTCACCTTGATTTGAAACTACACATTTCCTTGGGTAGAGTAGTGATATGCAAAATTACCTGAAGAAACTGCTTTCACTCTAATTCATTGACTCTCAATGAAACTGAACAATAGCTTCACATATAAAATTGTCATACTGTGATCTATCTGTGATTACTTTTTGAAGCACTGAACACCAAAACCAGCAAACCCCAAAATTATGTCTGTACCTAGATTTTTTTCAAAGTACTTACTTTGCTGAAGTCCCACATAAACATCAATTAATTTACATTTCTAGTGTTCCAAATTATCCAACCAAGAAAAAATAGAGTATGCTTAACTATTTCCATAGGGCATTTACATAAGTTAGAAAAAGAAGCATATTTCATAACAGTCTCAATTCACATCTGTACATAGAAATTACACTTAAGGCTTCAACATTTGTACAATATTGGAGAGAGAGAGAGAGAGCAGGTGCACGCAAGGGAAAAGATATCTGTGATTTATTTCCATGACACCCTTCACATGTCATAATATTTTTGATTTATTTGTTTTAGGGGACATTGTCCAGCTCTCTGAGTATAACATTTAGATGTTACAGGAAAACAGTAGGTTCACAGATGCTCAACTGGGAAGTACTTAAAGGATCTCTTTTATAAGGCAATGGGTGGTGGAAGCCATTAACAACTACATACACAAGGGGAAACTGCAGTTGTGATCCTTTTGTGGCCATGCTTAAGGTAAGAGTATCTGACATAATTTTGCTACAGACCCCCTATCATTGCCTTTTAAGAGCAAACTTAACATCGTAATCTCTGTACACTTCTATATATTCATTTATGCCTTGAATTTCCTCAACAAGCTCCAAGTGTAGTACATTATAAAATCCTCTTTTTTATTTTATCCTAACAATTTTTAACTACATACCTGAGTTATTTTGTTTCCTCTGTTAATTGTCCAGTATTCTAATTCATACTCCACGTTATCCATTTCATGTTGGCTGTTTTATCCTGGCCAAACATACTCTTAATTCAACATCTGCTGTCAGCTTAAAAACCTGGGATTTAGACTATTTTAGAACTAGCACAGTTTTCAAATCTTCTGTGTTTACCAAACACTTTGCCCCCTCTAGATCAGATGAAAAAGCCCAATATTTGCTATCACAAAGTGTTTCTGGGCTCTTTTGGAGTTGAGGTGATAGCTTTTGCTTGGGAAGGAAGCAAGGAAGCAAGGTAGTTTTCCCTCATTGCTCAGGATATTATGGAAAAACAATGTTGCTAGAAACAACATCAGAGACTATATAAGCAGAATAATGATATTAAGAACTGCTTCACAGCAGTGTCAAGTTACACATCAAGCATAGAGTTCACATATATTTTATTCATATATATTGACAAAAAATGCAACTCTCTTATACTGTATCATGGATATCTATTGAACACTTGAAATAAATATAGCACCTATAATACATGAAGAGTGACATTAAAGAAGGCTTCCCTACTTTCTGACCTGTTGGAAGAGGCAAAGCTCTATAAATACAGATGGGGGCCTTTTAGAAATCTAACCAATGTGAGGAAAGGACTTCATCTCAGAGTTATGCCAGTAGATGATGACAACAGTTAATTTCTGGTTTTGTTTGTGTTCCCCCCACCCCCACCCTGCCCAAGGCTATTTCTCTCTGAGTTTGTCAAAAATATTTGGTGCAGAAGTGTACCAACCAGCAAAGTTATCTGGGTCACCATTTCAAGCTCCACAGAATACAAGGTTCAATATCTGGCATCATAGATCAAACACTGTGGTTCCATTGTGAGCCCAGCAGCTGAGTCCTGCCCTGGGCCTGTCTTATCAAGTAATTGGATCTTTTTATTGTATGTCAGTTATTATCAGTTCTTTGACAAACACTCTATGAACAATGAATTAGCAGCTTCCAACTACACTTGAGTACCTCTTCCAGTGGTAGGTCATTCCAAGTGTTCCCATTAAAAACCTATTTGTCCAAGAGCCTCATGGACAGAAGATAGTCCTTGGAGTAGAAATGAAGATATATCACATGCATATTTGAAAGTCAAGTTTAAACCCCATGTTGAGGGAAAATTCCAGCTTCCTCATCCTAATCAGCCTTCCACTCTGACTGGACACCAGAATACATTACCACTGTCTTAGTAACTTCATTTAACTGCAAATTATCATAGGTATACCCAGTTAAGTGGGGAGATAAATGAGAATCAAGAGAACATAATAAAATATGAAGCATTTTCTTTGTTGAAAACTAAAGGGACATCACAGCAAAGAATGAATTATTCAACAGTTCTAGGTTGGATTAATTCTTCAGGTGGGGCAAAGATAGCAGGAGAAAAACAGTGGGATTATCAGGTTTTTAATCAATGCAATGGCAAAAGATTTATTGTATTAATGGCCATCATCAAGAGATTCACATTTAGAATGTCATTGTGAAATATGGATGCTCATTGCAAACTAGTATACATTTGCATAATAGTATTAACATACTAAAACTGCTATTAAGTAATCACAGTTCAGTGGGTTTTATTCACTCCTGCTCATCTGCCAGAGGAAGGGACAGCATATGTGAAACAGATTCTTTCCCCTCCTGTCCACTGTGCCAAAAATTGGGTCCATAGAATAAGGAAATCATCTGGAATAGATTGAAAAGGAGTACGGAGCTTTAGAAGGAAGAGGTTCTTGAGCAGAAGTGGAAAGACTACTTATGCAATGCTAGATGGGTCCTTATTTAGAGAAGAATACCAGTGACATCAACTTGCTAGTGCCTGAAAAACCCACAATTTAAGAAAAGCATATGCATCCTTAACACATAATTTGAGCTGACATTTGGGCTGAAATCAACAGGATTGTTAATGTGACTGATCTAGAGTCACATTAACAATCCTGTTGATTTCAGCCCAAAGTCCAAATACATGAGTTAATGCTCCAATTCCTGGACTGCATCTCCAACAGCAAGGCAATTGCAGCCAATCCTTACTAAACATTCTGTGGGGACCTGAATACACACAAAACAAGTCCTCATCCTTTCTTTAATTCCATATAATTTAAAGCAGCTCCCAGGTAATTTTCCAGGACAGGGCATTCAAGCTCATTAAACCAGCGGTGATGTTAAATAAACAATATCATTTTTTATTAACTTCTTATAAAAATAGACAATTGATTTAGGAGACACAATTGATTTTTCTAAAGCATCCAACCACTATGGAATTCCAGACACAATAATGGTATCTGGAGCAAATAACCCAATTAATAAGTGCCTGAGTTGAATAAATTACTGCTAAAAA